TCTGAGAGGGAATACGCCCCTAACTTGCTAGGTTTGAGAGGGAACACACCCCTAACTTGCTAGGTCTGAGAGGGAATCCACCCTTACCTGAGAGGAAATCCACCCATAACTTGCTGATACTAATTGATGCAAAGAGAAAATAACACTTGCTCTCATACCAATTGATGAGAGAGAAAATAACACGGGAAAAATAAAAAGAAAACGTTGAGAGAAAATAACACTTGCTCTCATACCAATTGATGCAGAGTAAAAATAACACGGGAAAAATAAAAAGAAAAAGTTGAGAGAATATACCTCTCAACGTTTGAAAGGGAATCCACCCTCAAATAATCTTTTGGGACCAAATTTTATTAACCCATTCACCAATTTCTAAGGGAAATATCCCTTTAATAGACTTAAAAAAAAAAAATAATAATCACTTTCCTGTTTATCTCTCCTCCATATTTTTTCTCTTAACCTATTTTCTCTCTATTAAATTACGTGCCACCCATGTTTTACAATTTACATGCCACCCACGTATTAGCCAAAGCTATTCACATGCCACCCACGTTTTAGCTAAAGCTATTGTTGAAAAGATAAACCCCCACGTTTTACTATTGAAAAGATAAACCCCTACATTTTACCCCAAATAAACCCCTTAGATTTAACTTTGTCCTATTTATACTCTTAAACTAACCACCCAATTGATAAATATAAATGAATATCAATTCATTCACGTACAAAATAAACTCCCACCTTTATACTTCTAAACTAACCACCCAATTAATAAATATTAATTCATTCATGTACAAAATAACCTCCCACCTAATTATCCCCGTGCACGTCAGCTATTCTTGAGTTAAAGATAAACTAAAAAATCCTAATAATAATAAAAATTAATTTTTTTTTCTCTGCATCAAAACTGCACCCTTTTGAAAATATGAGTGAGTGGTGTCAGTTAGATTGGAAGCCATAATGTGGTAATTAGATGTGGGGTGCTACCACAACGACCCAACTAAATTTAAAATTTTAGTTGAGATCTCCAATTAAAAGAAAACTTGCATTTGTATTTTCAGAATTTGCCAATTTTTTTTGAAATCAAGGTTTTAAAAGTAGCAAAGGTCTTCTTTGCTATTTAAATAGCATCCTTATCGGAATGATGACTATGCGGTTATCTTCGTCACTTTAAAGAAAGACGGGGATAGCACATATTAAGAGGGAGAATATGTGTTTTAAAGAGGACGGATGATAAAAACATGAAAAAGTTTATATAAGGTTGCAATCTTCTATAGAAGTAAGGTGTACCTAAAAAATGTAGTAGAAAAGAGTTTTATGAAATTAGATAACTTTTCAATTAATCATCTCGACCGTGTGAAGTATAGATATAACGAGAAATGATCCTATAGGACCCTCCCCCATCCATGTGTGTGGGACCCCAAAGATCGCTATTAAATTTGGCACGGATCTATAGAAAAGTCACGCCCTACACCCATGTGATAACTTTTTTAGAGATCCGTACCAACTTTAATGGTGATCCTTTGGGATCCTACACACATGGGTGGAGGAGGGTCCTATAGAATCATTACTCTAGATATAAAGAAGAAAATAATTTCAGGTCTTAAAAATGATGCATTTCATAACAAATTATCAGGACCGTCTATTCTCAAGATTTTCAAATATTTATAGATCAATTCGATCTTTACCCTTTTTAGAATTTTAATTTTTTTTAATTATTGTTGAATATGAATTTTCAAGCTATCATACGGTTTCTGACACCAAAATTATATCTTTCGGCAAAACTTAGAGGGGCGCGTAACTTGTATTATAGTATAAAAGTGGGTACCTTATATAAACCTCATCCTAAAAGTAAGGGAGAATATCTGCGTACACCCTATTAAAAGTTCTATTTCCCAACAAACTCAAGGTCTCAAAAACATTTATGGTTGTATAGAGATCACACATGTTTTCAAAGATATACTATGCGGGGTTTCTATGCCGTCAATAATATTTTCAAATCCTAATTATGTAGGGAAATAAAACTTCAAAATAGAGTGTGCAGAGATATTTTTTGTAAAAATAATGTTGGTGCAATGAGTATGGACCGGAAAAGGGACTTGGACTAGGGCAAAGTGACTCTAGTAAATACTTAGTGCTAGTTAGACTATCTTGCCCTATAAATGGGCTTGGGTAGAGTTTGCCTTTTGGTTAGGGCCGGTAGATAGGGGTGGCAATGGGTCGAGTCTGACTGGACTCGGACCCAAACCCAAATAGTATTCAGGTCCAAGTTTTGGACCCGAACCCGACCCAAACCCGAATAGTATTCAGGTCCAAGTTTTGGACCAGGACCCGACCCATCGGGTCTAAAAGTTGGACCCATAGCTGTCCTCGTCACGTCCCGGGTCTGGTCGGATCCATTGCCACCCTTATTATGAGCTTTTTATTTTTTTGCCCTTTTTTTTACTGTCATAGACCCATATTTTTGGCAACAAAGACGCAATCATCCGCCATTAGATTTTAAGCTGTCTGATTTATCGTTTAATAGTTAAAGATGACTACGAGTTTTTATTTTATATGATCTTTAATACACCCTAATGAATAGGGCTTGAAGTATTTTATCTCCGATAGTTTATAGGTACAGGTTGGGTCCAACCGGATTTGGATCCCGAATGGTGTTTGGGTCCAAGTTTGGGACCCGAAGCCGACCTGCCGGTCCAAATGTGGTATACCCGATGTGTTTGGGGTCGGGTCTGAGTCCATTGCCACCCCTAGCCGTTGATCTTTTAATTTATGTTCTTTTCTAAATTTATAAAAAGAGAAAAAAAAAAAAAGTGATAGTGCTAGGTAATGGCCCAAGTTCGACCTGACCCAAACACTAGAACAGTAGACTTAGATTTTAGATTTGAGCCTGTCCTTCATGTTGATTTCAGTGGCCCTGTGCTGCTAGGTTCATTGTTGTGCCTAAAGAAAAAGCACATACTACGATTACCTAATTTAGTACAAGAAGGATATAATTAATCTTAATCGTTCGATAGGAAATAGAGCAGCACATGGTATCTATTTATCAGATCAAAGCTCTAACTAAAAATAGAATTGTAGACAATAATCCCTTTTACCTATGGTGTAGGGATGTCACAATTACTTACAACTATCCAATGTGAAATCTAATAGTGTGGGTATGTCATAAAATTCAAAAAAATTTATTTTTAAACTTTGAGCTTGGTCAATAAAATAAATACAATCATTCAATGGTCAATAATAAAATAAATGCAATCATCCAATTTCGTATCCAATGATTAATATTATTTGTGACCATCTTGTACCAAAAAAAAATAATCTCATTATATACTTTACCATAAAAAAATTATTGAACTTTACAATGCATCCCACGCGGTTACATTTAAAATGGGAGGGCCGTGGTTAATGTAATATCCTTGTGCCAAAAGTGATGCGTCGCTTAATATAAAAATGCCGATGAACGTAGTGACAGAGAGATGATGCATAAGAAGATTACGATGATGCATAGAATTATGTAGAGAGAGAAACTTTTAGGCCCGGTCATACCAGCATTAATGTATCGGATCCTATTGAACTTTGAAGTTAATCGTATTTAAAAAAATATTAAAAAAAACTTTTATTTCAATTTGCGAGGTTGAAAAAAATAAACTTTTTCTTAATCGAAGAGACACAAGATATTCTACTCCTTCAAGAGCATATTATTTATTTACTCCTTCAAGGAAAGTCCTACTTGGGGTTAGTTTTAGGATTTTTAAATTTTAGGGATATAATCTCTTTAACATGCAGATTAACTTCAATAAAAATATTTCTGAATTACACCTTCTAAGTACTTGAAAAATAATATCTCAAGATTGAATAGAAATCATCTAATTTTTAAAAGGTGAAATCTAATTGTTAGGAACTCAAATTGTAATTTTATTTTTAGAATAATCATCTAGTGATTCTAGGATGGCTACCAAAATTCTAGATTGAAAAAATATTCCCAAGTAGGTCATATGACCGAGGGAGTAAAAGTAAACTGTGCTCCCAAGAGAATATAGTATATATGGGAGAGATGAATTAGTAATACCTATTCATAAGTGAAAAGATAGTATTTATTAAATGTTGAAAGCATGTATTCTGAATGCTAAAACAAAAAAGTTCTCAAACTTTATGGTACGTGCGATATACCTCAAGCTCTCCGCTTTGACATCTAATGATTAGAAGTGACTATGAATTGGATTCATTGAAGGTTAAATGGACTTGTTTTACCTTGTTCTCAAACTTTATGGCATATGACACACCCCCAAGCCCTCCACACCCCAATCCCTCCACTGTTACAAAGATTTTCAATATGGACCCGGTTTCTATGTGGCCAAGCCGCATACTATGCAGGCCTATTAATAAAAGAAAAAGGTTGTATAAGGTTCCAACCTTATACTGTTAAGGAAATGTGCATCTCAAAAGTCCTACAGTGGAGAGTGTTCCCACGTAGGAGAACCTTCCAACTGATCATCTACATTTTGAGATGAATAGATATGAAAAAAAAAAAAATTCAAAGTTCAAAAAATAGTACATCTAATAAAAAGTCAGTTGTACCATCTATTTTTAAGATTTTTAAATATTTATTAATCTGCTCGATCTGTACCTTTTTTTTTTAATTTTATAGATGCACCGGACCTCTACGGCAAAAATGTAACCTTATACAAACCTCACCCATTAATAAATTTATTTTTGAGATGGATTTTTTGACTTAATTTTTCAAGACATGTAACATCTAACATGTACATCATGAATATGAATAAATAAATAAATTTTAAAAATTAAAAATAATATTTCTAGTAAGAAAACATTTGGGCCGTTAGTTTCCATTGTTTTTAGATGGAACACCAACTTGCATCCATCTTTGAGATGGATGCTTTACACTTTTTGTACTGCAGATGTAGTCATGCGGTCCAGCCCGCATGAAACAATTTTCCTTTAATATTGAAACCGCAATTCTCAACCCTATTTGAAGGTGCGCTTTATTTTGATTGTTTGATTCTGAAAATTTTGGAATTTGGGTAATGGTGAATTTGAAGTTGGTTTTTCAACGCAATAGGCCACTGAAATTCTAGATAATTCGGACCGTGATGATGGTGTAATTGGTTTCTTATTCTATAGTGTTTCTAAATTCTGGAAATTATAGGATTACTGCAAATTGAGGCGAAGAAGTAGTGGACATTTATTGAGATAGTTGCAGAAACCCTAGAAATTTCATTGGAGGTTGAGGCGTGATTGGTTCATATCTTGTGTTGCTTTAAGAACCCCATATATTGATGGGATTTGAAGTGTTTACGTTCAATGTCTCTGTTGCCTTTTGAAACTCTAGAAATTTCAATGGAAGTTGACAAGTGACCAGTTCACTGTTTAGATAGCTTTGGAAAACCCTAGAAATTTCTATGGAGGTTGAGGTGAGAAGTGTTGGGGGAATGGAGAGCTGCTTTGTGGCTCTCCCTCTTGCCCTAATCCATTCTTTGCAGTCCACATGTCCTGGTTTTTTACCACCTGTTCTTGCTCTCGAGCTTCAATCAGTCACTGATAGCAAAGAGCCATGGCACTTAGCCTGGTCTGGCGCTGCTTCTCGCTCCCATGCAATTGAGGCATGTGTACTTCGTGCTTTTCCTAGTCATTTCCATAAAACTTGATGTTTTGACAATTTTGTTTTATGGAGATTTTGTTTGGGTTTTCGTTTGTTCTCAGAAAGGGAGTTTACTGCACTCCAGTAACTGGTAAATAAAATTGAAACTTGGGTTTTGTTCCCTGCTATTCTTATATCAAGGAATCATGTGATTCCATGACAGGCCCATTTTTGGTTGTGTAGAACTTGAATTCAGTTATATATTCTTAATATGCTGTATAGTTTAATTCCATTATATATTTTCTTCTTTTCTTTTGGAGTGTTTCCCCTAGATGGTTATGAACCTTCTTTTTTATTCTTTGTAATTATTTTGGATAAACTTCTTATTTTTTTGGTTTTTTTTTTTCCTTTTTAATTAGTTTTTCTTCTTTTTATATAAAGTTGTTCATTTTTCCATTGGCTTAGGTAGCAAAACAACTGGCAGAATGCATTGGTATGCCTAACCGTACAAAAGTTCAAGTAAGGGCAGCTGCAAATTTACCGAAAGCTACATTTGCTATGATAGAACCAATCAGTGAGGATGATTGGGAAGTTATGGAGCTTAATTCGGAATTTGCTGAGGAAACTATCTTGAAACAGGTACTTGTAGACTATTGTTCCCATTGTTTACCGTGTTAATTTTAAATCTGATGCGTTGATAAGAACTTGAGTTGCTGTGTCTTTTCGAAACTTATGCTAATAGTGTAGCCCCATTGCAGGTTGGTATTGTCCATGAAGGGATGAAATTTCCTTTGTGGTTGCATGGCCATACAGTTGCCACATTTGTCGTAGTTTCAACTACTCCTAAGAAACCGGTAGGTAAGATGAACTTCATTTCATGTTTTCATTATGAAAACTCTTCCATGTATGTGAAAGTTCTTTTGGAGCATTAAGCATATGAAGATAAAGATCTATTGTCTTAAATTATCAGTATAATTTAGAAATGAATTAATGTTTTTGGTTGTTCAGAACTCAACTCTAAGACACTTTTTGTGGCAATCTCAAGGTTGTGGGTTTAAACCAGTTGTACCCATACACTTCAAGTTCAACTTCTCTCTCATTTTCGCATGTCAACACATTGATCCTTAGACACGTGTTGACATGTGGCCAATATGCTGTTTGTTCATGACAGCTTATAAAATGTAGTTCGTTTGTGGGGTTTTAAATCATGACCATTTTAGATGGTGTTAAAAGTGATAGCCATCATGCCATCCATTTAAATTTTGTATAGCTTTGAAAAATATATTACTTATTATTAAGGGCCTGTTTGGATATGCTTGTTATCACTGACATTTCATTGTTTCAATTAAATTAATCTTGACAATGAATTATCTGTTGTTTGGCAGCATCCATCACAAAGTTATCTGAAACAAACTTTTAGGCAGTTTTACATGCGACTTTATCTTTTTACTTTATTCAAAGTAACTTTCTGAAAATCACAATTTTTTGGCTAGAAATAACTAAACATAGCTGAATTGTGCCAAAAAAATAAAAATAAATATAAATAATACAAGATGTGAACCGAACATGGTTTTAAAAAATGCCAATCCAGATCGGGAATCGATGGGACCTGTCCGGTTCCCACAATATATTGAGAATTGGCCGGTTCTAGAAAGAATTGCCCAGTTCTCTAACAAAACAAATTCTCCTTGCTCCCCCCCACTTTTTATTTTTTATTTTTTTTCTTTTTAACTTACTTGAAATTTTTGAAATTTTTTTATTTGAAAGAGGGTCGGTCGAGTGGCCCACCTCTCTCCTCGGGCAGCCACAAGCTTCTTTCATTTCATGACTTAAGTGGCATGTGAGCTTGTTTTATGACCTTGACCCCCCTCGCCCCCCACCCCAAATAATGCTTCAAACATCTGGGACTAATCAAAGCAAAGGTTTCCCACATTCGGGATGTTTGATGCTGGAAACTATCATTTTATTGAAGGGGTAGGTTTTGTTGAAGGGGTAGAGTGATGTCAAAATTATGGAAATGATCCATAGTTTCAAAGGGGTAGATTTTCTAAGGTGTTGGGGCCATATACTTTCTATTTTAAGGACTGTGAAGATGATCCATACCATTCTACCTTTTCAATAAAACCTATTTTTACTTCATTGTAAGAAATAAAAATAAAAAAAATGAAACCTAGTTTTACTTGTATTTTTTCCTTCTTTTCTTTTTACTTTCTTTTTTCTTATTTTTCTTTTTATTTTCCATATAGATTGTGTGCTCAATATTTTTTTCTTGTGTTTCTTTTTACCTGTTTTTTTACTTCTTTGGTGTGCTAACATTTACGTATTTTCAGTAAAATAATGATAAATCATAATGCAATAACTCAATTTTTGAAGCCTTAAAAACTATATTTTTAAGAAAGTTTAGCAATTTTTTGAATTTTTTTAAAGCCAGATCAGCCCAATCCGGCCGATCCACCGATCCAAACCACCGTTTTGGAACGGTCAATTTGGGTCACCGATCCACTTTTTAAAACATTGCTACCAAGCAACTAACAAAATCATATTATCCAAAGTATATAAATTTTAAATAACATAGTCTGTTTCAAACAAAATTAAATGTCATACAAATAGGCCCTAAGTGAGAAAGTAACAATGTCAAAATGTTTGGATGATAGGACGACATGCATATGTTTATGCATGCCCTTTAATGGTCAATTGCGCATGCACGTCTTTATAAATATTTTTCAATATGTTAGTAGTTTATTGTCATATGCATATATTTGTGGATATATTCTATTGACATATTTACATGGGTGCATAGTTGGGATGAGGCTTAGACGATGAAGATGATGATATGGACTCAAAAAATAATTCTCGTATAAAACATATTTGGTTCAATTTAATAGTTCTACTTACATAGCTATCAAAGATGCTCTACATATTGTACAAATGTTATCACTAGAGAGACTTAACAACACCATTTTAAAATTTAAGACAGAAATATAGTTTTATTTTTTCTTCCATATACACACATGCATATATATATATATATATATATATATATATATATATATATATATACTATA